TCGTGATAGGTCATGGTATCGAAGAAATTAATTTATTGTGTACTAATAGCAATGTATTCTACATATTATTGCATAGCAATTGCATGATTAAGTAATCACTAAGCGTCACATTACATTATATTCTCATTTGTATACATACTTGCAGAATAAGCAAATGAAATAAAAAGCCGGTTAAGTTTTTGCCACAAAATGTTTAGTTAAGATCACTTGGAATCATATACTTTGTATCTCAACTTTTGTCTTGTTCTAAAGGTATCAATTGACCTAACAATTTGTATTTTAAATTTGTTTATCAAAGAAATATAGATGTAACTAATTTGTAATAGATTATCTGTTATAGGAAATTGCGTATTTGTTAACGTCGCACATAAACAGGATGTACCCTTGACAAAATGAATGTAGCTAGTAAAACAATAAGTATGTAGGTAGTATAAGGAAGATATTAATAAACCTAAAAGTAACTAAACAAATTATATTTATTTATAACTAGGTGACAAAAATTATTAATAAATAAAAACCGAAAATGTTTCAATAACAACTCGCAAAACAAAATCTATATCTAATGATAATATGGCGATAAATCGACTTAAAAGTTGAGTATTGTGTAAGAAATTACTAAAATTTCAATTGGTTATGTCATCATTCTCATATTTTATAATAGTTCATAACTCGGTCAATTCCTAAACACTTACAGTTGTAAACTCTTCGCTGGTAAACTTTTTACCCTTGGAATTTATCGAGGTTTTACGTGTACATTTTGTAATGATCACCTAAAATTTATCAATAGTCAGAATTCAAATTTACAATGATAATAACACGAAGCTTCTATTTTAGAGAAAGTTATGTTTTTGTACTCCAGTTGTACAGTTAGTAGTCTGAACAGTTAGTAAACTATGGGGAGTTTTGTTGTAATAGGAAATAAATACGACGTAGTGTGTTGTTTTTCAAGTGCTTTATTTGATAAGCCATTGTTGAATATAGAATTCCATGAAATCATATAATTTTATTTTTTTATCTGTACTACTTCTGGAGACTAAAGTTGTTGTATACAGAGTTAGCACTAACAAGCTACCCTTTATGTCGTTAGAAATTATCACTCAATCCAAAGACATGTAGGAATAGGGTAATAAGCAATGTCATTATACAATTTACACTTTAACCATTAATAGTAAACATATTGTTATAATTTTTTATTATCATGTACTTATTGACTTAAACTAATAGTAGCCTGACTTGACCGCGACCTAGAAACTGATGCAGCAATGCACGCGAACAGCTAATGCGCAGTTGAACCACAGTTAAGCCAGTCTCGTTTCAAATGCGTGACGTGTACCTCAAATTTGCCTTTCACACTATCATTTGTTTGTAACGAATTGGTGGCCACTGTTTTTACGGAATATATGATTTTATTTATAAAACTTCTTCGTCTGTGCATCTTGTGTTTAGTGAACTTTCTTTTGACTCGACGATAGTGTACTAGTTCTGCATACTACATTCTAGTTGTCTGATATAAGATCAGTGATATACAGGTAATATTTATATTGGATATCACTTTGTATATGATTTTATACTGGTTTATAGTATCACAAAATTTTACAGCAATAGAAATACAGAATCCTCTTTGGTATCGTTTTTTAGTTTGTCATTTATTTATTCTTTATTACAGAAGACAACCATTTCTGAATGTTTTTCATGATTGATATTTACGTACCGCAATCATTACTTACTGCGACGTAATTATTGAATGCAGTTTTAACGTGTAAATTACGGGAAAGAAGTTAACTTTTCAAAATTGAATGCTTTTGGCTTCTGTTATATTTTGGAAATAGCAACGAGCGCGTTGTTTTCTTCTGTTTTGGAGTGCAAAGTTAAGCATCTAACCAACATGTAATATAATATATCACAGGACTTCTGTAAGTAATTGATTATTAGTGATTTTAGCTATCGAAGAATATATGTAGTTCATGGTCATTTTTAAAATACTTATTGTCATAAGGCATTATTTTTAAATAACGTCCACCATAATACAGATACCACTTTCTATTGTTAACGTCACAAGTTTGTCTCACTTGCTATAAAATCAGATATTCATTGACTTAATAACGTGTAAAATTGAACGCAATTCGATGGTTTCAAAATTATTTTTTTCTAGATAACGAGATTTCGAACTTATACTCTTTTTGTTTCGATGTGAACTAGTGATTATTGTACTCGTAGTTATCGATTTCATTCATAGATTGAATATTCGAATGAGTTATAATAGTCTGTATTTAAGTTAACAGAATTCGTAATAAATTTATTTTCATGACTACGACGACACTGTTATTTCAGCTTCAGTTCTTTTGTAATGGCAACGCGTTGAAGTTCAAGTCGAATTATTGACAAATATAGATAAAATTATTTGTTTGGAAAAAATCCTATCAATTGTACACCACTATTTATCATAAATCGTTTGTGTTAAGTGCAAATAAATTAATGCGTAATATAATCGAATAATAATCGTAATTCGATTTAGGGAAGGTGCAAGATGTGCGTATGTTCTTCCTAAATTCCATTCTCTATATCTAAAGTAAAAAATGTGTTGGTAAATGAATAAAGCAAATAATTTGGCTTAGTTTATCCATACTGTTATTTTACTATAAAAAAGTAATGTCAATATAGTAGGACGTTGTTATCAAATGCAATGTCGTAACACACATAATATCATAAACATAGACACATTGTCCAAACATTATACAAATTTTCCTAAATCGTAGTAGTAGCTCAATGGAATTCTTACAAAAGTGCGATATGATTAGATTGGAATAAGTATTTTATCCTATCATTTCTCATATTTGCTATAGCGTTCATTACACAAACAACGTAGATACGTGATCAATATAGGTAGTTTTTTTTAATGGGTGATAATGGTATGGTAACCCCGTCTGCGCTATTGGTATACACTGGCGGGGTACCAATGAGGGAAGACAGATGAAGATGAATGTAGGTCAGTTAGCCCATCCTGACGAATTAAACTAGAATTAGTCACGATGGTTTCCAGGGGGAACCACGTGGAGGTCGACCTGACAGGGTACATTGCTAGTAATAGGGCTATTTTGACCCCCATTACTAACAATCCCTTTCTCCCAGTATAGGTAGTAGTAGTGGTAGGTAGATCAGCTGATCAGTTCGATCCAAGTTAATACCTAGGTACCTAATTAAAATTTTGATGGTTAATATGAACGTCGTTAATATATACTTTACTAGTTTTTATCTACTTACTAGTATGTTTATATTGTAAACAATATTTCTATGAATTACGTAAACGTAATTCATAGAAATTTTATTACGTTTATACGAAAGTTGTTATATGCCGAGAAAGACTTGAAAGAAATTTCAGGATTATTAATATCAAATCATACCTGTTATTACACTAATTAAAGGAAAAGACAAAACGAAAATGTCGTACTGGCAAACGTTATCTTTAGGTTTAAAGTTTTAAAGTTTATACGTATTACGTCCACCTTATGATCAAGCGTAGTCGCCATTTAAACCACACCTCACACAGTATGTTGGTAAGATTCTGTTTGGCTTTGTGTTATTTCAACACACTCTTTGTTACGGTACGAATGACAACACGAGAAATTAACAAAAACTACAATTTTCCACTGCTTCAATTCTGGACCTTCACTTGTTGCATTATGGAAGATTTTTGCATGCAATATCATACAGACTGTATACAACTTTTCCAATGCGTCGCTTCGGTGTCAACGAACTCGGACTTTTTGCGTCTTTACCAGGAGGTCTTTTGGTCGGATACACGTCTTAGTTTTTTTTTTGTACGCAAATTCCCCGACACGTTGTTAATGTAACGCCGGTAACAAGAGTTTAAATGTAATTGCGTCTTTGAAATGAACATATTGTATCTAAACTACGTCGGACATGTAAGTTTTACGCGCTGGCTGATAGCGATGACAACATCTTTTGGCCTCTTTAAATATCAAACCTCCCGTTGGGAGTTATTTAACCCTTGTTTCATATTTTTATTTTACCCATTATCTACATTTATTTTTTTATTTCCCCTCGTCATTATACGGGTTTGAGTACTAATCATTTCTAAAATATTTTTGCTATTCATGATCTCACTACATTTTTGATTTTTTTAAGAAAAGAAATCCCACCGTGCATGTTCCGCACTGTGTATGGGATAGGATGCAAGTTATATTTTGATTCATAAAGTAGTCATTCGCCTATAATATTAGAAGAACTACAGGAGAGTTAAAAGTTCTCGGCCTGACAATGAAAGACTGTGATTTTCAGTAAAAAAATTATATTATTCTACATAATCTCCCTTGACTTCAATACGCTTGATCCAACGTTTCTCTAACATTAGTATTCCTTTCCTGAAATGAGAGTCTAGAAGGTTGTAAAAATATTAATTTATGGCCCTTTCAACTTTTTGTTCAGACGTGAACCGCTTTCCAAAAACAAATTTCTTCAAGTTTGGGAATAGAAGTCTGAGTGTGCCAAATCAGGAGAATAGAGGGAATGACCGTGCAAATCCTACCCCACATCCCGCAGTTTTTCCATCGCCAATGCATCCTTGTGTGCAGGTCCATTTTAACGAAAAACATGCACGACGTTTACTGCAAAAATTCGTGTTAATAAACTATTTGATAAAACAAGTTTAAACTTGTCATACGAACTAATGACACATGCACCTAGGCAAGAAAAATAATTTTTTGCTGTTTAGAACGTCATTTCTGTGTCAGGCCGAGAACTTTTCACCTTACCTTCGTATATTTTACTGAATAAGAATATAAGTGTTAACTTTATAAATGAGAGACAGTTTTTTTTTTATTTCTTTTTTATTTAAATTAAAATAAAAAAAAACGCACTGTCATCTTTGAGTAGCATCGTAATGAATAGTACCCTCCTCTTATTGGGAGAAACCTATGTCCAGAAATGACATGAACGAATCTTTATATGGTTTTTTAAGGGAAAATGTTCATATTATGCAGGAAACCCTCGGAGGTGTGTTTGGATCGACGGGGGCGGCTGCGGCGGAGGGCGGGGAGAGGCGAGAGGGGGGCAAGCGCGGCCGCCGACCTGGCAGGAAGGCGCAGCTCGACAAACAGGATATGAAGGCCAAGCTGGGTAAGATTAATTTTGGATTATTTGTGTATATTTTAAGTTTAATGGCTATCTAGGGGATATCCTTTTTCATAAAAACGTAAAAATGTCTTTCCTTTGATTTCAAATTTCAGAAGTTGAGTAATTGTCAATAGTTAAAAATAAGATTAAGGCTTTTAAGATTTTAGTTTTTCATGTAAGATAATAAAAATGTGTAAAAATTATACACTTGGCAATCACAGGCGGTGCGTTATTATGTCATCCACCAACTATCCACTGTTGAACATAGGCCTTTCCTGTAAGAGGGTTTTGTCAATAGTTGCTACGCTTGCAGGCGCGGGTTGACAACCGCAGTTAGGCTTTGGTGATGTTTTAAGAGCAACGCTGCTATTTATTCTTCGACCATGAAATTTCCTTAGTCGCCTTTTACGACGTCTACGGGGAAGGAAAGGTTTTATTTGTTCTTACTACCTATTAATTGGGACGTCAGTAAAAAAGCCAGTTCGAATCATGTGAATTGTGAAATTGTGATTAGCAAAGGTCGCTGCTTTTTTTTATATAAAATTTAAATGCATACTTCTAAGGTAAACATTTAATAATATACAATTTCTCCAATGAAACCCCTTCATGCCTAATTCTCCCAAAAGGTACTTTTAATGTGTACCTCTATTCAAGCTAATAAAGATCATCGCACACATCACGATAATTTATCTATTTAGGAGCTGTTTTGAGTGCATGCAATAATAATACCAGATCGCTTCTCATAAAATCAATTGATTAGTTGTAAATTATAACTTATAACATACAATGCAAATAATTATACATATTTATTATTAGTATCCGCAGACATCGACCGTTATATTAATAAATATTTAAATTAAAACAGTCTTATGTCATTATGACGACAATTTTCAAACAAGTTCATTCATTGTATTGATGTCTCGAGCTCTTGCTTCTCTCGACGGTTTTCGTCGAATCTCTTTGCGTCTTGATACGACACGATTTCAACTCTTTAATCTGCTTTATGTAACCATAACTCTGTCATTCCCTTTCCCTCTTTTATTTTATCTCATTTTTATTACTTCATTGGTTAAGTTAATAGTTGATTCGTCATATCGTATAGTGTCCCAACATTTTCTGTTTTTGTTCCGTTTTTCCGTTAAGAGTTTCGAATCTCCATTTTAATGTCTTTTTATAACCATTGTATATATTCTGTAGTCCAGACAAATTTTGAAAAATTGTCTTAATTCACAAAATAAAACAAAAAAAAAAAAGAATACAGTTAATTGCATTTATTTGACAAAAATATAACATATATACACATAGATTTAACCTCGTAATACGCATGAGTACGCATTTTAAGATTCCAATCGTTATAAAGTTAATTGATTGATATTTTCAGAGCGCAGCCGCCAATCGGCGCGCGAGTGCCGCGCACGTAAGAAGCTCCGTTATCAATATTTGGAGGAGCTGGTAGCGGACAGGGAACGCTCTGTACTCACGCTCAGGAAGGAGTTGGATAAGGTGAGTTCAAAAAACTTAATACTTCTCCTTTTATTTCATAAATTCAACAAACTTTCAAATTTCCAAAATCTATATCATAATTATGAATAAAAATTAAAAATTCCATGTTACTATGTTCGCTCATATTTGAAACCGTTACGATGAATATTTCTATATGTATATTGTTTGCTCGAAGTTGAGAGATTTTATCTTGATAAGAAAAATGACCGCGGTAGCTAGTTTTAAGGGACAAAAACGGCATTCGACGGGTCAGCTAGTAATTAAAATAAATAAAAATACATTAAAAGAAAAATGTATTACTAGAATACCTATTTACCGTAAAAAAAAAAAAAAACAATATCATCATCTTCCTACCCTTATCCCAAGGTTTTTAGTTTTACGACCGGCCAACTGGCTGACGCCAACCCTCTTTGGGAATAAAAAAAAAAATCAGCAATTATCTCAAAATTGAAAAAAATTTAGTTATATATTTCTCTGCCTGCACCGACGATATATACCTACCTGCTCGTACTTTGCGTGTCAACATAATTATAATTTTATTCAAATAACCACCTAATTTAATCAAGTAACAAAGAAACAAGCTCGTTTTCATATAATATTATTAAGGATTGTTGTCCTACAATCCTTACTAATGTTATTACAAGAACGAAGAAAGACAAAGGCCATTCCTGAGTAGTTTTAAATAACTATGAAATATTCGGAATTCCGAAGTTTTGGTAATTTTTAGAAGTTTAATTTATTTAATGTATTCAACCAATTTAAGTAATAATTCATTAATTTAATTAATTGATTACTTAGATATTACTAGGGAAATGTTTTAATAGAGGAACTATGTTTATTTATATTTTTTACTAAATTATAATAGTCTCAATACGCGTCACGTTTATTGTGGGAAGTGTATTTTATGTCGCTCCTTGATTTTTAGTTCTTTAAGAAACATGTCCAGTACCACCTGTAGCACACTCTCTTAAAAAGATGTTAATATAGCTGCAAGTTAGACAGCTGTCTATATTATATATAGTGCAATTCAAATTGTATTTACACTAGCTTTATCCCGTGGCTTTGCCTACGTGTATCAGTACATAAAGTATCCTTTGTGCTAAGTTAGAATGCAACCTACTTTTATACAAAATTATTATTAAAATCCGTCCAGTAGTTTTAAGAGTAACAAATATCCATCTGTCTTTACAAACTCTCGCATATATTATTTTTATATATTCATGTTTATAATAATAGTAATGATGAATTATTGTCATACTGTTCTTAATACTGTTTTGCTTTCTGATGTTTGTGGGTTTATCGTCATTCCAGCTCTTACTTGTCCACTGCTGGACATAGGCCTCCCCATAGACTGCCATAAGGAACGATCCTGAGCCACCTGCATACATTGACTCCTTGCAATGTGTGTTTGAAGTCGTCACTCTATCTAGTGTGTGTTTGGGGGGGGGGTCATTCTTCACTGTTTGTCCGTACGAGGTCGCGACTCAGAAAGCTTTCTTTTTGTTTTGTTTGTGGGTTCGATCGCGTACAATACAAATGTTTCTATTGTTATATTTAAATATGTCTGGATATTCCCTATATGTAATATGTATTAAAAAAAATGTGTTTCTATCAGTAGTCTTCTATCCATAATACGAACTCTGCTTAGTTTGTAACTCAATATCGCTGTGTAACATTCCCATTAACATTTTTTATTTTATTTATTGAGGTACATTATTCCGTTTACAGTATTACAAATGGAATCTCGAGCTGGACCAGGGTCGAATACCCGAGGGTTTGGACGCGATGCTGCAAGAAATGGGGGTGGTCAAACAGGAGGAAGCGAAACCCTTCTAGAGGGTTGATTTGGTACAGTTTAATATTATTTTGTTATAATCCCAACATATGTCGTATCTATGCTTAGGTTTCCCCGTTCCTAACTTCGAGTTAAGTTGTAATTTTGTTATCGGTTTCATTATAATAAGACTTCATTATATTTATATTGTAAATGTGAGAATTTAGTGGGTGATAATTATCCATAGATTATGTAAAACAACAAAGTATGTTCAACAATCTCCGACTCAACTATCTCTCCATTTAAGTGCTATTTTTCTGTATACCCTCCATATTGTATATGTGCTATTAGGTATGTAAATATTTGTTTACGTGTAAGAATATATACATATATATTCACGCATATAAACCAATATATATGTTTTTATATATTAGAATCTATATACTAGTGCACCACCTACCCTTTGTCTTTTTCTCAATATCCTCTACCCAAAGGTTGTCTGGAAGAGATTGTTGAGCGATAAGGCCACCTTTTATATCACTTCTCATTAAAATTAACTGTATTTATTTATAAAGGGTGCAATAAAATGTAAATAAATAAGTATGTTCACGACTTTAAACTGTGGGGTAGTCAGAGTTGCATTGTCGTCTGTTGCCGTTAATAATGTAGTTATCTAATTTTTTTTTTATTTTATTTCTTGTTTATATGTTAGTACTTTTTTAAATGGTTTTATATTGATTATAATGTAACGTTATATTTATGCAATATGTTTAATATCACACTGTTGCCTAGCAATCACAGATAATGGCCGACTCTCTTCTTGTCATACTATTATTTATCAATTAATAAACTTATAAAATAATGTATGCTATTTAATAAAGTATATTATTTTTATTAGAAGTGTCCGTAAATTCTATTTCTTATGTATATTTAAAAATAGATCTCAATTTAATCCTCTTAATGTGGAAGTGAATTGAAAATTGTAATAAAATAAGGATTCAAACATAACTAAAGTATTTAATACAAGTCCAAGAGGTTTAAGTGATACTAAAAGATACAGTTTTTTTTTAATGTATTTATGCATGCTAACTAAATTAAAAAAAAAAATTCAAAATATTGCATAATTCCAAACAAGTCTTGCCGTTTCCAACATATAAATTGCATAGCAAAAATATATCTTATAAAAATTTGATTATAGTCCAACTTAAACAGAAGAATACTTATATATTTTTATTTATTTTTTCATAGTATACAAAAAATCACGTTTACCATGTAGTCAATCTTGAAGAAGAATATTATGAATAAAATTCATTATTTTACTAAGAATGCATATAATAAAATTATATGTATAATTTTTTTGAGCTTTATATTGCACATAGTGTATAAAATATCGCTGAAAATAATAATTTAACTCATTATAAATCTAATCATATACATATATTTTTGAATATTCATTCAAAGGTTATATAATATTTCGTCATTAAAAGATTTCATTATATTATATACTGTTTTTATATGCTTTAACTATATTTTTTAAAGTAAGCCTGTTGTAAAACAACTATATATGTAAGTAATATATTACTAAAAAAATTTAAGCTTAATGCTAATCGTAGATTTTATTTAATAATTCATAAGGTATATTTTTGTAAAGTGGTAATGTTTTTTTTTTATTGAGTATGTGTTTTTCAGCAAGGAAAAACGTCAAAGCGTTTTATTCTAAACTTAGGTTTAATTAATTTTGATATTGTTTTGAACAAAGGAGAAAATGTTAAAGCGATTTATTTTAAATTATCTATTATAGTAATTTAAAATTATTAATTTAAAATTAAGGTTTTAATAATAAGTGGCTGGTTTTTCACTAGCGCCATATCAGTTGGATAGCATTTTATTTTTGACATATGGTAACATTGACTAAAAATAAAGGATTAAACTATTTTACTACACACTACTTTACCTAGATGAAACGATAGTTGGTCATGACGTTGCTGGTAAAATAATCAATTTGAACATAGGTCAAAAGCAGTTATAGTACATATAGGACATTTTGTGTGTTGATTGGTACTGTGTTCGTCCTTTCTAACAGAGAGACGTATACTTTATTTACAATTGTAAAACTTTTATTAAACAGAATATATTTGTACATATTGTGTCTGAAGCGCCATTTCTCTACAACTATATCTTGATCTGATACCAACAGAATTTTGTCGTGTCTGCGATCAAACTCCTCTTCATACAAGGTTGGCTGGAAAAAATCGCTTTTAGCGATAAGGCCGCCTATTGTTTTCTCAATGTAATTTATTGTAATTGTTTGTATTCATAACAAATATACTGATGCGAACTTTTGGAGGAAATTATACAAAGAGTATTTATTTATTTATCTATCTATTATAAATAAAATTTATAATAATCATGACTTTATTAGAAATTTAGTTCATATTTGTCCTTAAAGTATAGAGTTCGCTATATCAAATTGTGATTTTAAAATTAGAAATAGTTTTACAGAAATGGTGTCCGTTAATATTTAAGAAAATCCCTAATATATAAGAAAATTTACAAATTTCACAGAAAACATTCAAATTCTGAATTTATTAAAAATATGAGGAAACTGAAAATATTATTTGTTTTAAATTCTTAATTTATTATTGTAAAATTACTTCTTTATGTAACATAGAAACGGATATAGGTAAGTTAGAAATAATATAAAGTTAAAAATTTTAAGTAACTCTCTGATGCTGAGTTGATGACCTTGAAACGTTTGAACAGATCTTCATAAATTGCAGCTAAGATCCATCTTGATCACGTCAGATTTCAAAGGAAAAACCACCGGTCGATCTATTCTTTTAGGAGATACAATGCCACAGACAGACATAGACACGTCAAACTTATAACAACCCTATTTTTGCGTCAGAGGTCAAAAATATCTGCAACTATTTTATACACGTCAGTTAAGAATTATTGTTGGTTAACCGTCTGTCTAATGAATATTTAGAAATACATATGTTGCCAGATTGTAAAATTGGCCTTAATGTTTTAATATGTAAAATGAATGCCAAAATTGGCTTTAGCTTAGTTGTGTAAGTGCGATTCTATGTGAGGTATAAAATTCTGTAAAAATTAATAGTACTATCTATAGATAGTAATTTTGTATCTATAATACAAATTAAAGATTTTCTGTTGATTTATTAATTACGCTCTAAAAGAAAGTAAAGCATCTCTAATCTAAAATATAATAAATTCTAAAATAAGATAGCAGTTTGCAATTTAATATCTTTGATCACTTGATTAAGATTGTCATCGTTTATTTCTCATTTATTTAATATGTATATATTGTATATTTACCTTCTTATTCATAAAAATATGAAAACCTGACATAAAGCTGTTTTAGTAATTGAACTGTTTTGTCTCTTTCTTTAGTGTTATATTTCTAATTTAAAAGAAAGTGACAAAAGATCGTTTAGGTTTGTAGGTTTTAATTTTTATGAATAAAGGTATACATATATATTTATTTATTTATGTAGGTTGTAATCATTTATGTATGTACAATGTATTATTGTATATTACAAATATAGATATATTGTTATGTAAATTATGTAAATACTTACTATTGTTGTTGACAAGTTCTGATTTGCACTACTGCTGCTTAATACAGTCTGTGCCACTGTTGACTGGAGATCTCTTTTAGAGATAAGTTCACCTTTGCTCACATTGTTTCTAATTGTTATTATTACTGTATGCTTTAGTGCAATAGATTATATATATTGCAACATTATTCTGCCTGACACACTAACAGATAAACCCAATACATATGGCATAATCATTGAATTGATAATATTTCTTATTTTAAAGGGATTTAATAAATTTTGATTACAATCTCAGATAATTAGATGTTCACTTAGCATTTTTTTATTGCAAGTTCTCTCTTTGTACAAAGCAAATAATGGAAATTTGCTAGTCCGTTAACATCGTGTGCGGTGTTCCTTATGCGTGACAGAGGTAGGGGGAGGGGGGGTGAGAGGAAGTTTTAATAACTATTCTCTTCCACGCTACACTAACTTGCAGCCCCGCAGACATCTTATCCACCCGTTCCCACCAAAAATCATGTGATGTTTGAGACATGTTTGTAATTATACAAGCTTCTATCGGCTAACAGGTATCAAACACACTCACTTTTACATTTATAATGTATGTAGTATGGATAACATTCCGTGTATGTTTGGTGGAAACGTGTTGTTCCCAGTCTATATATACTTACGGTGTTACCTTGCCACCGCACACCGGACATTTGCTGCGGAGAATCACGCATGGAGCTGATCGGCAGTAGCATTCGTTTTATAATCAAAATATTTAATTTCATTGGAGGTTTTATTTTAAAATATTAATTACTAAACTTTATAATGTAGTTTAGTCATGGTCGTAGCTAGAGTGGGGGGAAAGGCATTGAGTTGCAATGCCAAGTCACTTAATTATGGCTTCTGTCCTACCAAGAAGTTTTATTGCCCTTAAACTTGGCCCTATGGTCCCGAGTTCAGTGTTAGTTTTTCATTAATCGTCTATAGAGCACGAGGTAGTTTTGGAGGCTTATTGAGATATAGGTATCATTTATTACTTAATTCTGTCATTACCTGCTTAATCCATTCAAGCCTTAACACCAAACAACTTAACACCAAAATTTAATATTTTTCAGCAATGTTTTAGTTTAGACGTTGGACGTTTAATAAATGTTAAGAATATTTTATAATAATTTGTATTTGAAATAGTAGTTAAGTGTATATATATTAATAATGTGACCACGCCAGAAATACGAGTAATTGTAAATATATTAATACATGTAGATTACATCTATTATTATTTTATAATTATTATAATGTATATTAGACTTAAAAGAGATGCCGTTAAAGTGTATCTTATGCTGTAGTAGTCTTAGGTATTTCGACTAATTTTAATGTGAATATACTGGGTGATTTTTTTACCATTAGAAAGATATGCCTTTTTTGTGTTAGTAAGAATGCAGTTCTTTATAATTTTTATACATCTTTATATACATACTGATATAGTAATTTATAGTAATGTTCCATTTGAATTAATACACTACATAGATTTCAAAATATATTACTTTAGTTATAATAATATTTCAATTTAATCTAATCTAATTTATATATATATAACATAATTTAGAAGTGCGAAAAAAAACGCAGAAAGAAAATCGGTGTATAAATATATTTAACCTAACAAAAAAAAAAAATGTCAAAGCAAAAACATATTAAAAAGAATATGAAAAAATATATATGCCAGCAAATATTAAAATCGAATCCGGTTATTTTTTTTAATAAAAAATTGGTTTGCTTAATCTTGGTTTCTTTCCGTAGGGTAACAAATTCACTCCGTATAAATCTAATTTGTAATTTGTCACAAGATGACACTCGTCAACGAAGTGATATGATTAGCATTTTGTTTTCAAACAATTCTATATTGCCGTTACTTGAAAATGTAAGATTATGTACTTATAATGTATACTAAAAATGAATAAATACGATTCGTCGGTAAGTACTTCGTTTCAGAACTGATTTTTTTTTTTTATTTCCGTAATAGTCCAACGAAACGAATTGGAATTTCGACAGGATGTTTATCATAAAAACTAGTAGTTATAGCCATGTGCAATACTGTGTAAATATCGTAAACTTAGTTTTCAGTTCACATGAACCTGCTGTATTTTACCATCTTACTAATTATTTAATTTGGTATCGACACTGTATGGATAAAAAGTGTTTACAAGTTATTACACATGACTGTACCATATTCTGTACATAGTTATGTACATCATTGTACCGACAATTTGATTTCAAATCGTGAACATCCATCGACCTTTCAATTTTCAAGTAATGGCATATTAGTATAGGCTCGGTTTCACAGATTATTGATAAATTTCCCCATAGTATACTTGCCAGATAGCATATTCTTCTAAAAATGCCCGTATTTCTTACTAGACGAAAACACATCGATAAATAAAATGTAAATTTAGTAAATTTTTGTTTGCAAAACATAAATAAATATTCGTCTTCTAACAAAAGGTCTTTATAAGAATTTATCAGTATGCTGTGAAATTAGCTTTTAAATTTGATGTTAGCTAAGATTTACTTAATTAACAGTAGTTTTATTAATTTTTAATTACGTGTTATTATGCATATCTTTAATAGGTACATAGGTTTATGTAGGCTCAATAAGTTTAATAACCTTTTGTATTAGATGAGACGATTGCTATTTTTGTTTTATTTTTTTTATTAGTTTCATTTGTTTTTTGTCGTTCTAACTTTAATTTGCGGTGTACTCCTGCGTTCAATTATTAGTTGGTAATTTTATTTATATTGAGTAGCTTCTTGTGGCCAAATAGTCGTATCTATAATTATAGTACAGTTTAGTGACAGTGGGGATGTCTGGGTTTATATTTTAATTAAATATTCCTTATTGATTACTTATCTATTTTTTTAAAGCAATAGCGGTAAA